CGGCGGCGGCGGCGGTGGGGGTGGCGGTGACGGTGGGGGTGGCGGCGGAAGCGGGGGCGGCGGCGGCGGCGGCGGCGGCAGCGGCGGCAGCAGTGGGACATCCCTAGCGACGGTGCTGCAGGCACGATACAGCAGCGATAGGGCGGCGTGGTGGACTTCTCCAGACTATGGCCGCACCCGCACTTTATAACTGATATGGCCTCAAAGACGCGTTCAAAGCTGCGCTTCAAAGCGATTGCAGCCCAAATAACCCAATTGGCAGCCGGTGCTGGCATGGCCAAGGCGCGGAGCGATCTCGGTCGGAGCGCAACCGCACGCAGCGGCCCGCACCGCTTGTCAAACACGCATCATCCCTTGAGCACTGCATCCAACTTGCTCGTAGCACATATTTTCCCTGCTGGCTTGCTTGCGAGGCGAGTGGGGCGGGTGGAGCATCAATACAGCCCTGTCTGCCTGCACCAAACCCATTGGGCTCCAAACGCGTGCCCAGCAGGTGGCCAAAGGCACGTGAGGGTGCTTGGCGACCGGGGGCAGTGTGTCGTACCCACGTCAAGCCGGCATGCACAACGGCCGCCCAAGGGGGCGGGCGGTTGAACTACAGGCACGGATGGCTTGACGGCTGGGTGCGAGGATTACAGCACCAGAAGTAGACCACGGGCTTGGCAGCGCGAGTCAGCACTGTAGTGATGGACTTAGGCCGCAGCAATCCCCACGTTTTGTGTTTTTTTCTAGTGTTTGCCCTGATATTACAGGCCAAGCCACCCCCATGTGAACCCCATGTGACCATATGAATGGTGGGCATTGGCCTTGCTGCATGTCCCCTCTGTGACCACCAGCCGGCGCCTTCAATCAGCAGAAAGAAGACTCGGCATGTACGTTGCCCTGAAGGCAGACGGGCTCGCAATGGGGCGCAGCAAAAAACCATCACGGAAAGCACCCTAGCGCCGTCGTCGACGCCAAAGCCTATGAGATGGTGCGCACGCCTGTGGCGCAGGCGCACGCTGCTGAGTGAGTGTCGAGACAACCCTGCTGCCTGCGTGCTTTTCAACAGCACTGCCGCGACCTTCACCTGCAGCTGCTTGTGCCAGGCTCATGCATCATGGCGGCTGCGCAATAGCTGATCAACGTGCAGGGTTGCCCGGAAAAGCCTCCGTGGTCTGTGGCATGCTCAGGCTGGGGGCTTTTTGTGCACGCCTGCTGCCCAGCAGCTGGCTCAACCGCGTTCTGTTCGTGCTGGGGTGCGTTCAGGGAGCCCTCCTGTGCAGATGGGCTTGCTGACTGCATGCAGCAATGCTGAGGGCGGGGCCCTGGTGGGTTTCCTGCCTTTCAGAGGGGTGGCGGCCGCGCTGGACTGGCAGAGGACTTGTCAGGGGCGGGTTCGCCACATCAGCAACCGCGAGTCAGGAGTCAAGGGCACCTGCCCTCCCATCACCCAAAAGGGAGACCGAGGCTTCACTCATGATGTCAAATCGCCAGAATTTTGGAAAGTGGTCCCTTCACGTGTCCTCACTTGCGGGGTGTGGCATGTGCAACCGACTCGGGCGTGTCATTACAGGCAAGGCCCCGCAGCTGCTGTGCTGGCGGGCCACACCAGCACTTGGCTTTCTTAACGGCACGTCCCATCACAATCATATGATACCGGTACAGCGGTGCGTGCTCTTACCCAGCTACTGACAGCATGTCGTTACCCTGTTGATATGCAGGCATCCAGCACAGCGGCCTCGAGCGGCCGCAGCGCAGCGCAGCAGAGGCGGGCTGTTTGGCAGCACAGCGACGACCCCCTGCGTCGGGCGAACAGAGCGCGGTTGCGATATAGAGTGTCAAGAGGTGGAGGTGGCCTCCCCAGCAACGCGCGCAGAAGAGAAATTTGCGCCGCGGTGGTCGGCACCACTCAGCATGGTCAGGAGCTCGCTTCTTGGCAGCCTAGGACGGAAGTGGAGGAGGAGTCTTCCTCAGAATTACACAGGTGTCCCAGCATAACGACGCCCGGGCGAGGGCGGGGTCGAGTCAGCCTGCGTCATGCTCCACAAGGGGCCATGCTAGCTGGAGGCATGCCTGCGGTACTCTATAGGCGATTCCACTGAACATCTGTGCCCTCCCGTGCGGTGCCGCACTGGCGCCGCCCAACCGCGCCACGCGGCGCACGCGCGCAGCGCCCAGGCCGCGCGCACTTTGCGGCCTGGCTTCTCCATGCCGCCACCCTGACCGTGCAGCGCCCCCGCGCGCTTTGGCACCCTCCAGGCTCCTGCGGGAGACGCGGCAGCGGCTGACAATCCCGGAGGCGGACGAGGAGCGGTGGCCCGGGTCGTATGGGCCCGGCGCAGACGGCGCGGCGGATGCGCCCAGCACGAGTGGGCGCGACCTGGGGTGCCCGGTCTTTGTGATGCTGCCGCTGGACACGGTCTGGGTGGTGGAGCGCGACGGCAAGCGGGTGAGACGGTCGGAGGGCCGCTCCAGGACGACAAACAGACCTCCTCGGCGCAATACTCGCAAAGCGCATGCGCTCGAGCCGGCAGCGCCGCAAAAAGCTGAGCTGAGCTGGCGCGGCGCCCCGCCCCTGCTGCAACCCCGCTGAGCCTTCGAGCAGGCCTTCAAGCAGGCCGTGCAAACGCCCGCAGCGGGCGCCCTCGGCCCCTCACGCGACTCCCGGCACGTGCACCCGGGCCCGCCGCGCCGCACGTGGCCCCACCTCCAACCCCCGCACCCCTCGCCGTTGTGTATGCACACCCTGGTATCAACGGCACACGTCCAGGTGGCGGTGCTGAAACGGGAGAAGGCTCTGGAGATTGCGCTGCACACGCTGCGCGGCGCCGGGGTGGAGGGCGTGATGGTGGACGTGTGGTGGGGCATCTGCGAGCGCGGGGGCCCACGGGTGTACGACTTCAGCGCCTATAAGCGGCTCTTCCACAAGTGCGCGGCGGCGGGGCTGCGGGTGCAGGTGAGGAGGGGCAGCTGAGGACGGGCAGCTTGGGAGGGGGTTGGTGGGAGTTAGGGGGGGGGTGCTGATGAGCACCTTGAGGGAGGCTCACACAGCCAGGTCGGCAGGTGGGGCGCCGCCCACAGCGGGGCTGAGGGGAGCGCGAACGGCCCGTGCGGGCTGCCAGGCAGGTCGGCCGGCAGGCCGCCGCAGCACGGCTCCCGTGGGCGCAGCAGCCGTGCTTCATCGCGCCGCCCCTGACAGCACCCGCCCTGTGCGCCCCCCCCCCAAAGGCTGTGATGTCGTTCCACGCGGCGGGCGGCAACGT